TGGATAGTTAGATAAATATATATATATATATATATATGTATGTATGTATATGTGTGTATGCGTGTATATATGTGTGTGTGTTTATTGCGTGGAAACCCCCCGTTAGCGACAAACTTGGCCCCGATAGCGGGGGCGGCGATGTCGGAGCGGCGGGCGTAATATAAAAAATTACCCTAATAATATAACCTTACAGTGAAAATAATCATGGTTATTCACATGACTTTCCATTGCAGGGGGCTGCGCCTGCGACCTGCGCCGAGGAAACAAAACTTCCACCACATATTCACGGCAGGATAGAGCGCACACGAACTAGATGCGGAGCCGATAACCTACAATAACCTAGGATTTTTAAGGTACGAACCTGATTGATTAATGCCGCTAATTAGTAGGTAGGGTACTCCTTTGCCGCAGAATGTGAAGGAGGCAGGGTGCGTCCTGGCTGCCCGCACCTGCCGCAGGCTTTCTCCCGACGGAGGAGGCCGTGGCGGAAGCACATCTCTAGCATTTTTTCCTGGCTAGTTGCAATTTCGCGTCGAATGCGAGCACCCTCCACACTCGGCCGTTGCGGCGGCTATGACTAACTTCTGAACGCGACGGTTATTTCGGTTAAGAATACAGATGTTATTCCAGAGGACGGGAAACTCGACCTTGAGGCCATCGGTGTAACATCGAAAGAGGCGCAAAACTCGCCGACGAGGGCGGGCCACCCTGTTCATCCTAATTATACTACAATCGTCTCTATATACAATGCTGACTATGCCAAGGTTAATATGCTGATTCAGTGGGAATCTTACGAGGTAATTGTAATATTACGCCCGCCGCTCCGACATCGACGATGATTGTGCAACGCTCTAGCCTGCCGGGAATACGTGGAGGTTTTGTTTCCTCGGCTGGGGTTGGGGGGCGGCAGCCCCCTGCAATGCAAAGTTATGTGAATAACCATGGTTATTTTCACTGTGGGTTATATCATTAGTGTTATTTAACCTCGCATTTTCCCTGGAACCTTTCATGCCCTCCCCTATTATCGGGGCCAAGTTTGTCGCTAACGGGGGGTTTCCGCGCAATAAAAACTATATATTTGCAATGTGGAGAGTGAGAGGAATCCAACGATACCAAAATCGTCGATATCGGTTATACGGACGTAATATAAAAAAAATTACCATATAGTATATATATATATATATATATATATATATATATATATATATATATGTATATATTATATATTATATATATATATATATATATATATATATATATATATATATTGCTACGTAAGCGCATGTTGTTCATATGTTTAGGCTCACGAAAGGAGAAGAGGAGAGCGACGCTGGGCATGGCGGTCTGGACGATTGATCAGCATTGTGACGCATTTCGGATAGCAATATTGACAGTTCTATGGAATGTCAAGAGAAAAGCATGTGAAGTGGGAGTTCAGCATTAATGTTAAGATAAACTAGTGGAGTGTTATTAGTGCTAAAGGCGAATATTGTGTGACTGAAATAAGGCTAGGGGAAGATGGCCAGCAGCAGTGACCGGTAACTCGCTTTATACGCTCCCCGTGGATTTTTAGTAATGTGAAGTGAAGTGAACCAGTGTGCTCTCGGACGCATCATCTAATTAGTGTGTTTACATGAAAATCATGCCATCCTTTTGCCAGATTAAGCATGCATTTATATATATAATATATATATATATATAATATATATATATATATATATATATACATATATACATATATATACATATATATAATATACATACATATATATATATATATATATATATATATTATGTATGTATGTATGAATGTATGTATTATTAATATATATATGTATATATATATATATATATATATATATATATATATATAATGTATGTATGTATGTATGTATTATTAATATATATATATATATATGTATATATTTATATATATATATACATATATATAATAAATATATATATATACATATATATAATAAATATATATATATACATATATATAGATAGATAGATATAATATGTATCATTAAAAATTATATTCTGATGTATTTAGAGGAAAGAAAATCATTGTTTTGAATGTTTATTATTGCGCAAGGCGATGCTCCTTTGTCTTTGTTTTGATGCCGCGTCGTCTGGCAGTTGCTTAGATTATTTACAGCGAGATTTACAGAGATTTCCTGATTAGAGTATGCATGTGAGCGGTAATAGATAATAGAAATGCCGGAGAAGTGTTTAATAAAGATTTGGAATATCTACTGAGCCGTCACGTGAATGATACGCGCTGGCATAAACAATTTACCCGCGTTAGGTTGACCTGTGAGAAGTAGATCGACTGAATTTGACTACATGTTTGCATTTGAATCATTTGATTTCATTTAGGTTGAAGCAGTGTGAGAGAGGTGATTAAACCTGAGGCTGTGGTATTTGTATTGGAGACCCATAGGCTGATACTGAAAGTGAAGTATATGTAAATCATTTGTTTGTATGAAATATTTCTTATTTATGATGTTAGAGATTAAGCATGAAGTGTCTATGTATAATGTTATTGTGTTAAAAATGTTCATGTTGGATACTGAACTTTGAGAATATAATGCTTTAAATTTACCATGTTAACCTGGTAATCCATACCTATGATTATATCATTAGAATGTCATTTAAAATCCTGGCGTAAAGAACTACGAATATTATTTTGCTGTGAGTTATCGATGATTTGTTATTAGATACTAAGTATATAATCTTTTACAGGTTGAATGAAAAACAATAATGAAGTTTTGTCATACGGCGGGTTTTTGTCTCTTAACAATACAATATATATATATATATATATATATATATATATATATATATATATATATATATATATATATATATAGGGAGGTGGATTATAAGCTCGCGCACTGATATATGGCCCCGAGTTACCGACGCATACAGTTTTCTCAGATGGTCTGAGAGGCCTGATTTATGGCCTGCACTAGTCTTGCCTTAAGCACGTCCACGTTTTCACTGTTGAGGGAGGGGGGGGTGTCATTGCTTCTAAGACTGCAGGCAGAGCCCTTCAGGATGGCTTACCACTGTCTAGCCATGATGGAACTGATTTGAATTCCATCTGCCTTCTCCTAGGCCCAGCTTCTATTGTTATGTGACCTATTCTATATCTGATTGGTTCTACTAAGGTAGACGTCAGTGTCTATGGTCACGTGACGGTCACGCACGAATCTAATTGGCTCATTTGATTTTCCTCATACGTCATCTGCTACAAATCCGTCCGATTTTCCGTCGCCTTTGACGACTTTTGTTTAATTTTGTCGCGGCCTTGGAGGAGCAAGGGTGCTGTGGATCCTGGAAATTGTAGATTTTATACCCTCTCTAATACCATCATTTTGCGGAGAAAATGGCATAGAAGAAAGCGTAATAGATTGTGTCCAGGAGATTTTCAACCATACTTGAATGTGATTGCATTCAGGTTCTCTGAAATGAAATCATAATTAGAC